GGAAAAAAAATACCCTAGCCCTTACCTTTAAAGGGTAGAAAATCTCTTTTTATAGACCGTTGGCTAAAAAAATAATCGAAGTAGGGGTACAGCCTGCAAGAAAAAAAATAGTAAGACAGCATAATAACAAGAAATAAAACTAGATACCAAAACATGTTAGAAAAGAAAAAAAATATTGAAAGCAATGTGGTAAGATAGACACAACTAAAGAAGCAATATGTAACATTTCCGTTCTCAAAGGTCACCTTTCATTTTGTCCAAGAAAATGGGCAAAAAACTACTCTATTTATTAGAAGATTCACCTTAACAGTGTTTTCAAAAACGTTTGGGTAGAGTTTTGGGGCGAGGCGTATCAAATACGCTCCGCGGCGCAAATTAAAAATATAGATTCATAAAGCGCAAGTTTTAGAATTTGGGGTGTAAGCCCCGAACGTAAAAGCGTAAGCCTTGGACGTAAACATGTACGCCTTGAACGTTAATTTTTTTTAACCTTTTTTACTTTAAATCATATTTTTTATTATTGGTGAATGATATTTCTCAAATAGTAATTATAATACTTTTTTTCTTCATTATTGGTTATTAATACCTATGTCAAATAAAAATCATAATATTTTTCTATATATTATAGATATTTATTTATTAAAATTTATTTGTTGAATCATTGAAAGTTTTATTTTTACTTATTTTCTTAGTAATAAAATCAGAAAATTAAATATACATGAGACTATGTGCCCGTAGATCCATGGGATTTACGCCCCATGTCTCGAAGCTCGCGCATCGCCCCATACTGCATGAAACGCCTCGTCTCACGCCCCTGCCTTTTAAAACACCACACTTTAATATATGTAATTGGATAATCAAATTGATATCGGAAAATGGTCAAATGTACCCCTGTACTATTGGAAATAGTTTAAATATACCCCTCATTATACTTTTGAGCTAAATATACCCCTTCCGTTATATTTTTGGAACATATTTACCCTTATAACTAACAGAGGGACACATGGATGACTAGGATTAAAAGAAATCATCCAATTTTAACCATACCCAATTATAAGGTGATCCGCCCTACCCAAATTAATTTCCCCGATCCAATTAATATTATCCAACCCAATTTAAACTTCAAAGATAAAAAATCAGAGGACCTGTAAATATAATCCATTTTGCAAACAAAATTAGTAGTTTTTTGGTTTACTCCATCTCTTTCACTGGATCTATATAATAATTAACAAACACTAGGGAGAGTACAAAATTATGGATGAGCTGACGCCAAGGCCAGCAAATTCAAGTCCTCTTACTCTTCTTACCTTCTTGGAAAGAGCCGCTACTATCTATGTCGATTGCACTGTCATGGAAAGTTTTTAGAAATGTTTTCAGTAGGAGGTGATAAACATTTTGATCCTTATAAATTAAAGCAAGAAGCACAAATAAAATTCTTTAGGTTTTTTATGGTCGAATTTTAAAATTGGGTCGGATGATATTAATTGGGTTGGGTAAAATTGATTCGGGTGGGGCGGATTACCTTACAATTGGGTATGGTTTAAATTAGATGGTTTCTTTTAATCCTAGTTGTTCATGTGTCCCTCTGTTTATTATAAGGGCAAATATGTGCCAAAAGTATAACGGGAGGGGTATATTTAGCCCGAAAGTATAACTAGGGGTATATTTGAACTGTTTCCAATAGTACAGGGGTATATTATACCCTTTATGGTATGTATTTCATCACATGTTATGGTATGTATTTCATCATTCTTAATTACAGATTTTGAGTTCAAGCCATAAATATGAAATTGTCTTCGATAAGAAGTGCTTTACCCTCCAACATAGGATTTTATAATGAAAATCCAAAATTATCCGGCCTCAGAATTATAAAATATTAAAAGTACCACCAAATAGCATCAGCGTTTGTAGTCCAACGGTTAGGATAATTGCCTTCCAAGCAATAGACCCGGGTTCGACTCCCGGCAGACGCATTTGTTTATAGTTTTTTTTTATTTTTTCAAATTCAAATACTTTGTCCCAATATCTTTTTTTAAAGAAAATTATTTTCTAGATTCAGACAATCATAAACTTATTTAACTGTATTTAAGGTTCACAATTTTTCGTACATATGTAAAAAGATATTGAGACATTTTTTTATTTTGATCTTTGAAGATAAGGTAACCAAACATTAGAAAGTTGGAAAATGCACTTCAAGCTAGAAAATATTTTCCATCATACCAAACACACTCCTCTGTTCTAGATCCTAATGACTAAAACCTATTCAGATCAATTAAGTGTTTCAAATCTTAATGAACACAAATGCGCTTAATAATCCGTCTGAGCCATTCAAATTCTGACCTTTAAACAAATGAGGCCTAAATCTAAATAACTTTACCTCAAATGGAAGTATTGTACTAGTAGTGAAAGGAACACGAACATCATTAAACTTATAATGAAACAACACCACTAATAATTTTGGGATTAGAATTGGGTTCTGAAGCTTCAACCTTCACAAAATCTCCAAAATTATAAATGACATCTACAAAATTGATAATTTTTAGTATGAGGGCACTTTTAAGGCACAAATATGGATCAAGATAACATACTATAAGTTCATCTAATTCATGCAGTAGATTCAAGAAATGGATAGTCTGTATAACCAACAACAGGATCGGATATATAGAATGTCTCCATGTTATACTTGTTGAGAGTAGCATTAACCTTGAATCTCTTTGGTAAATCCAGATTAGCCAAGAATATATAGACGTCCATACACAGTAAAATCAGATGCAGAAGTCCCCAAAATGCCAGTTCCACCATCAGGGCCTAGCAAGAAGCATAATTCTGTTCCAAAGCTTCGTTTCATTCAAGCAACTCTGAACAACCACAACTTTCCTCGTCTTCATTTTTAATCCTTGGCTCGACCATGTGGTAGTATAAAATGTCATACTTGTTCAATGATGTCAGCTAAGTAAAGGCCCAGGGCACTGGGATTTGAGTCCCCTGATTATGCGTATTCTGCAAATGGGGAAAGCCTTATTCCAACTCTTTCAGCTCCAATCTCATTGGCAATATCTGCAACTATTTCAAAAGTGAATCTGCAACGATTCTCCAGAGAGCCTCCATACTGATCACTTCTGTCATTTACTTGGTGCCAAAACAATTCTGTAGAAGTTACCAAATGTTATACTTCAAAAAAACTACTAAAACAAAAGGCAGCTAGCAACTGCTGCTACAAAATCCTGTCGAAGAGGCAACAACTGCGAAAAAAGCAGAACATGTAAAAACCCATAACACATGAAGATGTATACAACATTTGGATTGCGCTCTTTTCTGTTTTCTATTCTCTCCGTTTTTATAACATGAATATTAACCCGAGAAATAAAGACCATCTGCTATAAATACCTCATGAAAGCAAGAAGTTAAACCTAAGATGACGCCTTTAATGAAGTGTCGTTTTCTCATTCCCTCGTTAGATGATGATTGAAGGCTAATACTGTGACTTCATTTTGATGAAGTGAATTTAGTTCCCCAACAACATCCTTCAGTGCAATTTGATGTGAACTTTCTGTAGTTTCATTTTTATTTGAGGGTTCAAGGAGAAAATTATAGTTAACAACTAGGAATGTCGCCTTATAGGCGATAAATTACAGACACCTCCTCTCCTAACTCTTCATTGGATATCCCTTTGGAAGTAAAGGGTAAAAGGTGTTAAGTCTGGATACCAAGAAAATAAGCACTTCCAGAAATGTAGTTTTCTATGCGCATGTCTGTCACAAGGTGTTTTTGCTTCACCTCTAGAGAGTACTGTGAAGTTGAAAGCCAAGGAAGAAGTGACTCTATCTGACCCAACATATTATAGAAAGCGCATTGCCAAACTGAACTTTCTTACTGACATAAGATTAGACATTGCATACGGTGTCCAACACCTTATCCAGTTCATGCGAGACCCCAGGAAATCACATTTGAAGGCAACATTTCATCTGCTGAGGTATTTGACGAGTGATCTCACCTTGGGCATTTTCTTGTCCAATGATCCAGATTGTACTATATAAGGGCTTACTATGACTCAGATTAGGCTCATGTCCAGACTCTAGGAGATCAGTGAGCGGTTATTTGGTTCTGTTGGGAAACAGTCCAAGAAGCAGGAAATTGTTTCCTTGTCCTCATCTGAAGCAGAATATATATATGCCACTAAGGAAGGTAGTTCGAGAGTTGTCGTGGTAGTGTAGACTCTTTACAGAATTGACCATTGCCTTTCCTAAACCAGTCACACTACTTTGTTCAGATCAGTCTGCCTTACACATTGCGAAGAACCCTATCTTTCATGAAAGAACTAAACACATAGAAGTGGATTACCATTTTGTGAGAGACAAACTACAAGGATTGATTTAGTTGTGCCATGTTGCTACACATGATCAGCTTGCAGATGTGCTTACTAAAGCTTTGAGAGATCTAAAACATTCTGCAGTTACGAACAAGTTGGCTGTGAAGTACTCCCCTCCCAACATGAGGGGTATTAGAATCACAGATGTATTTGTATTGTGAAATTTACTTAACTGTGTATTAGTGCACCTATATTGTACGTTAATTTTGAGTAGGAATCAAAGAAGACAAAATATGAAAAATGGTTGAGGATTTTAAACAAGAAGAGTACCTATGAGATAATTGAAAGTTTCCCATTTTATATGGAGTCAGCAAAGGAATTTCCTCTTCTTCTCCCCCTCTGTTGTTGCTCAATAATTACTCCACTTGGGGTTCGTTTGGGATAGTGCATTAGAAAAATAATACGTCATCCGTCCCATATTTGTTGATCATCTCACTAAAAATAATTGTCACATATTAGTTGTTCGCATTAACTAAAATTTTCCTATATTATCCTTGCAATTAATTCTTTTTGAAAGAGTTCACATTTGCAATTAATCCTTCCATAGCGAGCAAGTATGTCAATTAAGCTCTTATTGAGTGTCAACTTTCAGAAAACATCTATCAGCAAACAATGTAGTATCACAGCTACAAACAATAAGGTATTCACTTCTTCGACAGCTTCTCCTTCATCCTCTGCACTGCACTTCTAAGAGTATCTTCATCTTTGCAGAAGGTAAACCTCACAAGATTCTTTCCTTCTTCCGGATTTAGATAGAATACGCTAGTTGGAATGGCTACAACACCAACTTCCTTGATCAGGTATTCACAGAAGGCAATGTCATTGTCCAACCCAAAAGGGGTATGATCAACAACCACAAAGTATGTTCCACTCGAGGGGTATACTGTGAAACCAACTGCCTTTAACCCCTCCACCAATATTGCCTTTTTGGCTGAGTAGTCCCTCTTAAGCTCCTCATAATAAGAATCTGGGGTTCTAAGGGCAGTAGCAGATGCATATTGCATCGGAGTGGATGTTGCAAAGGTGAGGTAGGAATGCGCCTGTCTTACTCCCCAAGTCAAGTGAGGAGGAGCTATTGCCCAACCTATTTTCCAGCCTGTTAGAGAAAATGTCTTTCCCAAAGAATTCATGGTTACAGTTCGTTCATACATCCCTGGAAGAGAAGCAATTGAAATGTGTTCCATTTCAAAGGCTAATTTGTCATAAACCTCATCAGCAAAAACTAGAACATCATTCTCAATGCACAGAGAGGCAATGACATTGAGTTCTTCTCGAGTGAACATCTTTCCAGTGGGGTTATGCGGAGTATTCAGGAGGATTGCTCGAGTATTCTTAGATACTGCTGATTTTAGCTCCTCAATCGGAAGAGAAAAATCTGGTGGTCTTAAAGTAATACCCTTTATCTTTGCTCCAGCCATAGATAAAGTAGCTTCATAAGAATCATAGAAAGGAGCAAACAGGATGACCTCATCACCAGGATTTATCAAACCCAACATGGTGGCAGCAATTGCTTCAGTACAGCCTGAAGTCACAGTGACTTCCTTTTCGGGGTCAACATCAAGTCCACTGTCTTTCTTGAATCTAGCAGCCACAGCAGAGTTGAGGTCTGGGACTCCATATCCTCGAGCATACTGATTTTTACCTTCCTTAATAGATTGAATAGCTGCTTCTTTTACAAAATCTGGGCCGTCAAAGTTGGGGAAGCCCTGGCCGAGGTTTATAGCTCCATGCTTGATGGCTAGCATACTCATCTGGGTGAAAATTGTAGTTTTGAACTTCTCTAGGCGCTTGGCAACCTAAAAGAAACAGCAAGAATACTCAATCAGAAGGTAAATGAAGACATCCATTATCTCAAAAAAAGATCATATTCTTTTTCCCATCACTTCAAGAGAAATTTATGGATTACTGTATAGTTGCTGTCCAAAAAGTGACACTAGTGTGCAATCAATTACAAGATACAAAAAGAATAAATTGAAAGACTAATGAGCTCAAATCAGAGCAGTCCAAATAGTTTCCAACTTGTGGTGGTGTTAAACTCCAACTACTGGAATATGCTGTCTCAAACAAGCACTTTTGTACATCCTAGGTTCTCAGAATACTTTATGGCAGACCTCAAGGCTTATTGCACAAGTGTATCTCAAAGTAAATGCTTCAGTCGCTTGATGTTCTGTATGTCTTGCATCAAAGCTGGCTGTAACTCTAGCATAGCATTTTATAAAGAGAGAACTCAATGTTATCCAAGATCCTCTAATTAAGGCTTATGTTTAATATGGTACAGCAGTGCTTCTATTTAAATAAGGACATACTACAGCATAGGCATGTGCTGAAAACATAGGTTTCCGATAGCTGTTGAGATTGTTTTTAAATGTGTTCATGAGAGAGAGATCACAACTTTCTTAACTGGTTTGCTATCTACTGTGCTTCAAGGGAGCTTTATTATTTAATATTCTAACTACCTTCAATGAGAATTTACACATTTTCTGAAACAATTTTAGACCTTTGTCATGCATAAATTTTAACAACTAAAATTCACAAATTGAAGATAAAGAGTCACAAGAGATTCCTCAAATAGTCCAAAATCTCCCAAATATTTATTCAATTGGTTTCTCCTTCAGCTTTTGGCACAAAACCTTTTAACAGTTCTGGTTGTCACCCAAGTAATTTGATCAAAGAGGTTGCTAACATAATTTTGAAATTCGCATGAACCAAAACACAGGGAATGGCACCCATGGAGAAAATGCTGGATTAATTAGTATCTAACTAGCGATCAATAAAAGATAAAATGAACAATGGGAGACCAGGTTTCCAGTAGAGATGAAAATGTTGTGTGATATCAGAGTTACTTGATATCAGTGCTGGTGGGGAGGTACCTAGTGGAGGCGTACAACAGCTAGAACGGACACTACCATTATGAAAAATATAGTATCTACCAAAAGTGGTTGCTAATGTTTTCTTAAAAATAATTTGGAGTAAGCCAAAAAAATAAAGGACCTTAGGGATGGAGAGAACGCCAAATTTATTTGTTTCTGACAAAATTATCCTAAATCATTGGAGTGCACACAGATTAACACTCCTACCTTTGCAACCTACTCATTAAACTCTCCTAACTAGCAACACTCAGACAACATGGTCAAGATTTTACTTCTTCCTTCCCTTCCAGTATGCACTCCAACAAACTCCCAAGTTAGACTAACGACAACCTCAAACTTACCCAATGATGGGATAACCCAAGGCAACAGGGAAAGTTCCAGATCAAGACAGCTACAACAGATAGCCAATCGTCCAATATTGGCTTCCTGATACAATTCTAGACTTCTTATATGCTAAAGAAATCAACATTAGAAGCTTCAACCAGTTACTTCATTATAGTTCTCTTCAAGCAATTGAAAACAACATATCAATCACGGTCACAACTTATAACCAACATGCAGCAAAGGAAATTGCCCAAAACCATCAATTATGAGGTATTATTTGACAAGAGTATCCTAATGGCCTAAAAGCATATTTCCATGTTTCCTACGTATAGAGCAGATTTCTTGGTTAAAAGTCCTCCAAAATGGAAAACTGTCTTTAATACAAAAGATTTATACAACGTAGTTGTGATTCATTGAAGCCTCCTGTAGACCATTTTAGTTAAGAACTTATACCTAGTAGGAAAGTCCCAATGATCACAATACAATGAAGGACATTTATACAAACTAGGATGTCCAGGAAAACTGTGACTTCCATTCCTAGGCAGTGTTTTGGACGGCTAGAGGCGACAAAAGGCGACAAGGGCCTGCCTCGCCACGTGGCGAGGCAAGAGGTGAGGCGCCAATTAATACCAAAAATTAAAAATTTTAATTGCATATATAAATATCCAAAATCTTAATAGCAATAACATATATTAGCAAACATTTCAATTCAAAAACTAATAGTAGATATTAAAAGTCTAGAACTTGAATGAACCAATAATTCAAAATACTCTATTAGTTATTTCTCAAAATAAATATTCTATTAATTAGTATAAAACTAAATTAAGCAGGGAAGAAATAATTATAGAAGAATTAAATTATTTTTTTTAAAAAAGAATATAGGCAGTGAGCAGCAGAGCACTTCAACATAGCAGAAGAACAAAGCACACAGTTCACACTTCACCACCAGTCTACCACTAAAAATAGAGGTCTGAAAAACAGAGCAGCATAGTCGTACTGCTGAAAAACAGAGAAGAAGAAAAGAAGGGAAGAACTAGAAGAGAAGAAGAGATTCGCGTAAGTCTCCAGGGGTCGTACCTGAACAGCAGTCGCGTAAGTTGTACCTGAGCAGTAACATCGCTATTCGCGAAGGTCACGTAAGTCTCTAGGGGTCGCGACTTGCGAAATCTGAGGAGAAGAGGAGGAGAAGCAGTCGCAACGCCTAATCTGAGGTGAGTTCGCAAAAATACCCAAAAAAAACCCTAATTTTGGCTTTTAATTATTAAATCTGACTTTAAAAAAAAAGGCGATGCCTATTGCATCACCACGTCACGTCGCCAGTCGCCTTTTGATCGACATGGCACGCCTTTTTGAATTCGCCCACGCCTCGCTGGAAATAGGCGGAGAGGCCTCGCCTCGCCACGCCTAGTCGCCAAAGGCGAAAGGCGCTCGCCTTTAAGAACACTGTTCCTAGGGTGGCCCTTTTATGTCCAATAGTCTGAGACTTCAAGTTTTTTTTTTTTTTTTTGAGAAGGAAGAGTTTTATCAAATGAAATAAATCATCATGCAATAGAAAGTGAAAGAAATCTACATGAACTACAAAAGAAAGGAAATCCCTTTTACAAAAACAAAAGAGATGAAACTCCACAAAACCAAAAAATTTACTCTTGTAGTGAGCTGATGAAATCTACCATGTAGTCTGAGACTTCAAATTTTCGAATTCAGTGAACACTAAAAGACACAAATCAAGTAGCTTTTAAGAAGAAGTAATTGAAGGAGGAAGCATGAAAATTACAAGACAATGCAGATACTGCTGACGGATATGGAAGTGCATTATGAAAGTAAATGGAGTTACAGATGTATCAAAGCACCTAAGATGAGGTGCAAACTGCAAACAATCGTTGAATCAAAGAGAATGGAAGTTACCAACAACTGAAGATGGAGAAACCTTTAAAGAGTACAAGAGAGTGAAAAGAGAATCGAAGAATTAAGTGTAAGAGGACTTCCACAAAAGTTAGGGACTAGGGAAATAGAAGGAGAAAAAGTGTAAACTAACATATGACTTAGAGAGGAGAGTTAAAGACTTGATTCAAGAGAAGTGTACTAATAACATTACCAAACGAATTTTGATAGGAGATTATGAAATCAATGGAAGGAGATGTTGAATACACAGTATGAGAACAAATTAATATGTTCTCAAACATTCAAAACGGACAAAAACCTTAACTACACTCATAGAACCAAGACAATTGAAGCGAAGGAAGCCATGAAAAATATGAGAGGTAGGACCACTTATGGATGAGATGATATCCCTTTTAAGATTTGTAAATGCCCTCGATAGGTTAGGGTATATGGATAACCACCAACAATTCAAAGTGATATTAAATATTAGAAAGAAGATAAAACAAGTAAAGAAAGAGCACCTTAGTTATGACGAAAGAGCAATGAATATATTCAAAGTTATATATTGATCGTATTAAACCTATGAATGACACATAAAACTTCATGAATTCAATATTACAAGGGTGATAAAGATATTCCTTGGCTTTGAGAAAACATAGGATGAGTGATAAGAAAATCTTGTGCTTGAAAAGCAAAGAACTCATATCTAATATACAAGGACCATTGTGGACGCGTATGTATGACCGAGTGGTCACAAGTGTGACAATAGAAAGTGAAGATATAGTGAAATTTATCCACAAACATGGGTTTACACCACAATTTTTTCTAGAGTCCACACTTATTTATCCTAGTCATGGATGAGCTAACCCAAAATTATATAATGTCATTTCTTGGTACATGCTATTTTATATAAAACTGTATTAACTGATCAAATAACAGCATATCTAAAGGAATTATCTAAACCTCTATCAACTTGATCAGGGATTGCGATACAGTGTCTACAAATCCCACTATTCTCATCTAATACAATAGTTCATGTGATCATCCATGATCAAAGTCATATTTTTCAGTAAAAGAAACATTACGGAGGCCCCCACATCTATAACTGCACCGGATCTTGTAGGAGTCCCTTACATTCAGTGTAAAATCAAGATTATCTCAAAAGTTGAGCTACAGTTTAACCACAAAAAAAACTAAAACCTAAACAACCTCAATGTTCTTTCATTGTGAAAGAGTGAAAAAAGAAGAAGGGAAAAAGCTTCAATCTTTAATTTCTCTGCTAAACACCATCAATTACACAACAACTATTCTCCCCTAAAGTTATCAATTTGGAAGAGTCCGTCTATCAAATGCCAAGTACAAAAGAAGAAAAAACCAAAAGGGGTTACCTGAATAGGCTTAGGAACTATCTGGGTTGACTTATCTTGAGTAGAGACAGCCTCATCAATCTGGGTTGAAGCGGTGGCCATTGGAGAAGGGTATTTTCTTGAAATGCTGGTGGAAAAAGTGCGGAGAATATAGGGTTTAAAGCTCTTCAATGGCTGCTTAAGCATTTCATTAGAATACTGAGGTGTCCAGGTACATCGAATTGCTTGAGAGATTCGCATCCGTGTTTATTGGCAAGTGGTAGAAACTCATCCGATTCAAAATGGTCTTTGACCTGCCATGAGATAAGAGATCAGCTTTGTTTGTTATGGAGAAAATGACTTTTACACCCTTTTAAGTTTGGAAAGTGGAAATGTGTAAAATGCTCTCACATCTTGGGAACAAATTGACGTGCATATACACTTCTTTCTTTTACCTTCTAAAATACAACGTGTAAATTAGACTCTCTCAATTATTTGAGTTCTACAATATAAGGGGTTGTTTGGTAGAGTGTATTGAAAAAAATAATGTTTGTATTAGCTTGGTTTATTAATAGTACTTTGTTTGGTACATTTTTTCTTACATATGCATAACTAATGCTTGTATTAGTAGTGCAGACCTTTTTAAGTTTGGAAAGTGAAAACGTGTAAAATGCACTCTCACATCTTTGGAATAAATTGACGTGTATTAGTAATACCTTGTTTGATACACTTTTTTAACTTATGCATAACTAATGCTTGTATTAGTAATATAGACCCTTTTAAGTTTGAAAATTGGAAACATGCAAAATGCACTCTCACATCTTTGGAACAAATTGACGTGCATACTCACTTCTTTCTTTCTTTTAGCTTCTAAAATACAAGGGATAGTTGAAGGGCAAATTAGACTTTCTCAATTGTTTGAGTTCTACAATATAAGGGGCCGTTTGGTAGAGTGTATTGGAGTAATAATATTGGTATTAGCTTGGTGTATTACTAGTACCTTATTTGGTACACTTTTCTAACATATGCATAATTAATACTTGTATTAGTAATATAGACCCTTTTAAATTTGGAAATTGGAAACGTGCAAAATGCACTCTCACATCTTTGGAACAAATTGATGTGCATACTCACTTCCTTCTTTCTTTTAGCTTCTAAAATACTAGGGGCAGTTGCTCAATTGTTTGAGTTCTACAATATAAGGGGTCGTTTGTTAGAACGTATTGGAGAAAATAATGTTTGCATTAGCTTGGTGTATTAGTAGTACCTTGTTTGGTACACTTTTCTAACCTATGTATATAACTAATGCATGTATCACTAATATACTATATTGTATATTGAAGAATTTATTGCTAATACCATGAATTTCCGTGCATTAGTAATGCAATGGATTCTAATGCATCATTAGCATTATCAAAGACACATTACCCTCAAAAACTTTTTTACATTCTTTCCACTGTATTTGTGGAGGGTATTTTGTAAACAAATATTTTTTAAAAAAAATTATGCAATGCATAATATTTTCATTACACCAAATTAAACATTGCATAAAAAAATCTTATCATAACTAATGTAAGCATAACTAATACAAACATTATTAATACACCATATTTTATATTATTCTTATAAAATAATTTTCCGTAATAATAGTTAATAATGAAGTGTAAAGAAATTATCAATTAAAAGTTGACATGTATATATGTATATTTTTAATCAGAAAGTAAAAAAAAAAAGACATCTAAAGATAGAGGTATTTAATGAAAAAAACTTTCATGTGGAAAATAAAAATAGGTCAGTTTTGCTTTAGTTTTATCTTGACACGCTTATTGTGCGTGTGGTCACTTGCTTGCCCATCTAAGCTTATAATATGCTTGGGGTTGTTTGGTGTGAGGAATAAAAATAAATAGTCTTGGGATAAAAAAATAATTCAGGAATAAAATTTTGGTGTCTTGTTTGGTTGACAAGTTTGAGATAACTTATTTCACCATTTAAACCATAGTGATGGGATAAGTTATCCCATATACATGATGAGATAACGTATTCCAAGATAACTAATTTCAGGATAATTAATCATGGGATAACTTGTTCCCAACCAAATGACCCCTTATTAATACATTAATATTTAATAGTTTGGGGGGGTCGGGGGGGTCTTATGACCTTCACAAAGTTAGAGTGTGTAACAACAAAATTGATCAAAATTTTTGTGTGTTTTGAGCCATTATTTCTAAAAATAACTGTAGTGTTGGCTTATTTAGTGATAACTAGCTTCTTGAAGCAATGATTGTATTTCAATGAAAAGTAAGCGAGTTGATTATCATGAAAATAACCTCATATAAATTTTGTCGAGTCACGATTAAACTTTTTTTATATCGTGCATAATTAACAAACAAATTACGAGCTAGGTTTATCGCAAACATGAATCATTTTTGAGTGAATAATTGAAATATTGAGAAAAGCTCACATCTGATTGATAGCTTGGAAGAGAGTTTTTGGGCTTCACTTATTGTATAGCAATCACGATCATACTCGTACTTTGCAAATGCTGACTAGACTGGATTCAAAATTAATAGGAGATATACTACAAGCCATTGTGTCTTTTTTGGAGGGAAGAGGGACCTAGTATCATGGAGGAATAAGAAGAAAAGTGTTGTATCTCGATCTAATGCAAAATTCGAGTATAAAGTTATGTCACAGACTCAGTCCACATGTGAGATTACATGGATACATCATCTTTTAAATGAATTTTTTTTGAAGCATCCTACTCCATTAAAACTCTGATGTTGTCATGTATTTAAATAATTTAAATGAAAATTCATTAAAGAAGTAGTCAAATTTGGACTCAAAGGTGGATGACAACGGTATTTTGGAGCCAATAGGTGGATGAAGGATAGTTTTGTACCATTTCGAATACTTCCTTCAAGGATATTTTAAGCCATTTTTTTGGTTTATAGAAATCTCTTTTATTTCTTTCCTTAGCTAAACCCTTGTGTATACGTATTAATGCTGCTTTTGCCTCTTGGAATAATATTACAAATTATTCTCCATACCTAATATAGAATTGAACTTTGGTTTGCACAGAACTCAGAAGCAAACATATACTATATGTTTTTTTCTGCATTAAACAAGTACTTATTTTGATCAAACCAGTCCACTAGTTGTTGCTGACTCTATACTCGACATAAGCAAGTAATTTCAACGGTTAGAAAGAAATCATTGAGTTGATCCTCCCAACTCATGAAGATAAAGGAATCGGAATGTGCTAGCTATCGACTAGAAGGTGTAGATATCTCCTGAGAACACGATATCTACACAACTAGGATCAACATTACAAAATCAATTCAAAAATTGATTAGTCCCTTTTTGAGGCAAATGTATATATATATATATAAGCCTCATTGATTCAGTGGAGCAGTGCAAACAACAAACTAAGATAAACTGATTTCTTAACGCTTATCCAATCTGTGACTAACGAAGCATTTTCAATCATGCAAAACAAGAAGAGTTGGCCTGGGAAATGAGTCGCTCACATTTTAAGGCAGCAATTAGACAGATGCATGTATCCAGCCATTTCTACTTCATCAACTGAGATAATTAACTTTCATCCTATTAAATATGAGGTCATTGATTCTTACAATGATCCAGTAATCACCTCTCACTTTGATGTACGTGCTCAGTGTCGCGTGACTCAAGTATATTCATGGAGATGATGAGAGTTGGACATTATCATCATCTTCGCTTGTTTAGAGATGATGAGAGTTGGACATTATTACAGCAAGAGTTGTTTCAAGGGAAGATCTGTTCACCCCGAAATTGTTGATGTGGGGTTTCGAATAGCTAAAAAATGTGGAGGGTTGCCTCTCTTCATTGTTTAGTTGCTGGTGTTCTCAAAGAGACAAAAAGATAAAAACAGAATTGTGGAAGGAAATAGAAGAAAGTCTAGGTTTGTTGAATATTGGTAGCTTGGAAGAGAGCTTCGTCTATAATTAGATTCAGTTATCGGAGGAATTTACCGCACCATGATCTGCTGCATAAATTCTGCTTGGAGAAGTCCAAACAGGAGAATTTCTTTCTTCAGATCAATGGGTATAAAGAACTATACTGATTTTATCGTTTCATTGTTTATATCAACTCTCGTTTTCATTATTTTCTCTTTAAACAGATTCACTGGAGATGTATATGGAATACCAATTGTTTGTTCATTCTTCTAAGGACCAGATTGATCTGTGGCAGAATGTTATTCAATGTGATTGATTCAGATAACTTGTTATGGCAGCGTAACATCTCCTTCATCTTTGACAGCTTCAAACTTGTTAAGGTGTTGGATTTGGAATCCTTCAACATTGGTGGTACATTTCCCAGTGAAATACAATTTCTAATTGATCACTTGGAAGTATTTTGCTGCTAAAAATGGTGGAAATACAATTCCGTCATGTATAGCTAAGCTTTGGAATCTCAAAATTGGGAGGAGAGATGATATTACCTTCTTCTACTCTAAATATGATCAAATTGAGGCATTTACTTGTAAAGAATTATCGTGCTTCATTTAGTTTGTATGAGAACATGGGTGAATCACTTACCGACTCTCAATTAGATAATTTGGAAACCTTTTCCACTCCACATCTCTCTTACGGTGAAGATACAGAGATGATATTGAGAAAGTTGAGTTGCATATTTTCGGGGACATTTGGTTATTCAGAGAAAGTGAAGGGAAGGTGTGTTCGTTTTCCCAGATTAGAGTATCTAAGTCGCCTTGAATCCCTCAAACTTGTCTCCAACAACTATCGAGCTAAACTTCCACATGTATTCAGTTTTCTCTCAAGACTTTGGGAATTGATTCTGTCAAAGTTTTGTCAGCCATGGAGCCAAATCTCCATTATTGGAGAATTTCCCAACTTGGAGATTCTAAAGTTACTTCTCAGAGCCTTTGGAAGGGAGTAAATGGGAAGTGAAAGATTCAGAGTTCCGTGAACTCAAATACTTAGAATTGGAGGGTGCTATATCATTAAAAAGCATTGAAGTAAACTGGTCCAGTTGGGAATTCAGCCGAGGAAATTCAAGCGATTCAGCATGATGAAATGGCAAATAATGCATTCAAAGTTACTATACAGCCTCCAGATTGGGATAGAAATTCATCTCCTTGACTCGTTATCTGGTATGTTCTTGTCATGTTCATTTTTCTCTTACACCACATCATGCTTATTATTACTTATTCCAGTGACCTGCTTTTAGTGAAAAGAATGGAAGGAAAAGAGGTTGTTTTATGTGCTACATCTTTGAATCTGAGTTCCCTTTCTCAGTGAATG